GGATTGGCCAGTGCAAAGGCCCTGAGGCAGGACCCGGCCTGGTGTGTACATGGGGCAGTGAGCCGGCCCATGTGGCTGGAGTGCAACGAGAAGATGAAAAGTGGGGAAAGTGAGGACAGGAAGTTGACAGAGCCTTGTGGACGGCATGGAGAACTCTGGCTTTTCCTCTCAGTGAAGTAGGGGGCCTGATAGGATTTTTTGCTCTTGTTAAGTACAGAATTTTGGACAAAGAGGTCACATACCTGGCTTATATTTTAACAGAGGCACTCCCTAGGGGCTGTGTGGCAGGAGGATTGGGTGAAATGCGAGTTGAAACAAGGTTGGCTGAGAACTGGCTGCCGTCGAAGGTCCTCGGGCCTTGGCTGGTGAGGGGCTCGAGGAGGTTCACTCTTCTCTCTAGCTTTGTATGTGTGTGAATTTTTCCTTTTACATCTTAAACTATTAACAAGACAATCAAAAGAATCCCGCTGACCCCTACGTTGAGGCTGTGTTCCTATGTAGAGGCGACTACCTTGGTCCAGGTGAGTCCTGACAGGGCCGGGCCCAGGCAGGGCCATGCAGTGGTGGAGAGAAGGGGTTAGAATTAGGGCCAACAGGGTTTGCCGATAGGTGCGGAGACGCGAGATGCCCCAGGTTTGGACCTGAGCACCTGGAAAGTTGCAGGTGCCGTTAACTGAGAAAGGGCAGGTCACGGGACCATAGGACGGCTCCCGTGTGAGATGTCTGGGGACCCCTGCACGTAGTGTCAGGGAGGGCTGGCGGTGGTGGTGCGGTCAGGAGAGGGCCGGGTGGGAGATCCGGATTTGGGACCCACAGCACCGTGATGGCATGGTGACAGAGGTTGCCAAGGGCGAGTGGGGAGACACGCAGGTATGAGCCCCGCTTTCGCTCTCTGCGCTTAGAGAAGTCAGGGTCACAAGGGAGGAGCAGAGGCCTAGAGGCACGTGGAGGACCCGGCGGGGCAGCATCCTGGAGGCCCCTGGAAGGATCCGCAGGCGGCTGGAACGGGGCAGTTTGTGGCTTGGGGGAGAAAACCCTGAGCAGAGGGGTTCAAGGGAGATGGGGGAGAAGACAGGAAGACTGCACGCACATAGACGGCTCCCAAGCGGGGGCAGGGGAATGGGCAGAAGTTGGCAGAGAAGGGGCTCAAGATTATTTAAGTCCGGGGTGGAACTGGTGGTGTGTTTGGACACGGGTGGGGATGAGGGGTCAAGCGTGAAAGCAAATGGCAGAGGAGAGCGGAGGAGAGCTACTGGGCACAACTGTCCTCACGCGCAGGTGGCCTCTACAGGGCGTCGCGTAGGCGGTAGAACGCGGAGAAGCGGGCAAAGGGAGGGACGGCAGTTTGGGGGAGAAAGAACATAGTCTGGCCCCGTTGAATCCCCACAGCGGCTCTGTGTGAGAGGCACCGCTGTTTTCCCCACTTCGCAGGTGGGGACACTGAGGCTCAGAGGGTTCGAGACCCACTTGCGGTCACACAGCTAGTCGACAGCAGAGATGAGACTTGGACTCAGATCTGACTGACACCCGAGCCTGTCCCCACCACTAAGTGGCGTTCCCAGCACCCCAGTCATGGCGAGGCTGTGAGTGCAGGGAGGGGGCTGTGGGCATTTGGACTTGGGTTTGGGTGAGGATCTGGGTGGCCGGCCTGCCCCCTTGGAGAGCAGGGGAGGGGAAGGGAGGGGAGAGTCATGGGAGGGGGTGGAGGGCATCTGGGATGGGGCGGGGCGGGGGGTGCAGAGGCTGGGACAAGGGCAAAGCCTGGGGAGCTGTCCTCGGACCAGACGTGGGGTGTGGGGACTGAGAATTGTCATCAGGCTGGACGGGGGTCAGATGGGGCGGGTGGGGAAGCTGACAAGAGACTTTGGACTGGCTGTCAGGACATTTGCGGTGAGAGCAGGGTCTGGGCCATGGCAGGGAGGCTGGCGCTCCAGGGCCAGACGCTGTGATAACGCTGATGGTCACGGTGAGACCATCGCTATGCTGAGCGGTTACCCAGTGCGAGGGGCTACACCAGGCTCTTCCAGTGCGCGTAACCTCATGCCAGCCCCACGAGGCAGGTACTGTTACGATCCCATGCTACAGATGGGGAAACTGAGGCACGGGGAGGCAAGGTCACGCAGGGTCTCGGGGCCTCCCACTGCAGTGTAGAGAAGGGAGGATGAGGAAGTAGCCAGAGTGC